ATTCCTGCTTAGAATAGCACACCAGGTCTCCTGTACTCAGCAAAATTGTAGGTGCATTATCCTATGGATACCTACATTTAACTGGATAATGAAAAAAGAAACTGATGACTGAACCGAAATAAACATACGGCAAATTCTAATTTAGATGAAAATAAGGTAATACAAGTATCTATTGTAGACTATTTTGAAGCTGCTCAGGAGGAAAAGGGAGGAGAGAGTTGTATAGTGATGCTAATTTCAAGGCAAATTTCTAAAATATTTCTGCAGAAACATTTGTACAAGTAGGTGGTTGCTTACTCAACCATGTAAGTTCTGTGGCCATACACTTCACCTTGATTCTGTATATTGAAGTTGAGGAACGGCAGCACATCTGAAAAGCAGCAGACAGTTCAGAGTTTTGCATGTATCCCAACTGCCTTTTTTGCTGGACTTGAAACAGAACAGAACTATTAAAAGACTTGACTTTTCCACTACGTTAGAATTAGTGAAGTTTTGGTATCACAACCACAATCACAGGTGAGAGGGAAACACAGTATGTAATATTTTGTGATGGGTTTAACAGGGTATTTTAAGAAGTTTCCCACAATGAATTATTTAGCAAATAAAAAAATACCTTTTGGACAGATGGAAAGGAAGCGGATAAAAAGGGCAGTCCTGTGGCTGCAACAAAAGGCAATTCTGGCTGCAACAAATAGGTTTAACAAAAATTAAGGAGAAAATGGAATTTCTGACTTGAGAAAATTTAAGGTTGTTAATATGAGACTCAAACTAGCATTGCTAGTTCTAGACTATGTAAACAAAGATAATTCACTTAAGGAATAAGGACCTTCCAGCTAACTACTTTGGTTTAGCAAGCTTGAACACACTGTGCATATGTCAAGGAAAAATGGCCTTCTCCGATTCCAGTTTGTTGATTTTAAGAGTTAATTTTGCTCTAAGAACATTGTGCTGTTCCCAGTGAAAAGCAGTTCTACTAAAACATAAGCATTGTTACAGTGTAGGGAGAATTAATACTGTCTAAATGTAGTCACTGAGTTTTGGGCTTCATGAATACACTATGGAGAAAAGTACCCAACTGAGGTACCCTGATCTGCCTGTGGAAGGAGCGTACGACTGCTCATCTAGGGAGAGGGCGCACCCATCTTAATCACATAAATCAGACGTCTGAAATGAGACACAGGAACACTGAATCACTGAGGCTGGAAGGGCTCTTGGGAAGTGACCAGCCCACCTCCTGCTCAAATCAGGGTCAAAGAAGGAAACCTTGGACCAGGTTGCTTAGGGCTTTGTCCCAGCAGGTCTTGAACACCTCCAAGGACAGAGATTCCACAGCTCTCTGGGCAACTCTCCATCTCCCTAGTTAGAAATCAATATCCTATAAAATAGAAAATAGTGGTTTTATTAACAAAAAGCTCTTTTGGTCATGAGCAGTCATATAACTCATGTCAATTACTGCCCTAATTTCTGCATGTTCCATTTCAGCAGTATTTTGCTGTAGTCCTGATGGTTTCAGGGCATAAATGTAACAAAGTTTCTAGGCAGAAACTTTTATTAAATGTATCTGTTTATCTGGAAAATTAAGACAAGCTTCTGGATGGGCTGCACACCAATATACCACTGACTCAATAGAAAGACTGTTTTTCTGGCACGTAACTTTCACACCATTTCCTACAGAGTTTTAACTCCCTCCTCCTTTCTCCTAGATGACGAGTATTTTCATAATACTCTCTCTCTTCCCTGATTAAAATCCCCTGTACTCCTGGGATGCCACTAACCTTTTCTTTAAAGATGGTCCGTGTGGTACATACCTAACCAAATTCTAAGCAGTTGTTCTGTATTTAGCTTGGGAAGTTGCTGTTTCATTTTCAGATTTGAAAAAAGACTTATATGCTTGAAAGCTTATTTGATTTTTCCAGCTGTACCACTTAAGTGACACTATCCATACCTGTAAACCTTGTCTAATTTACGCAGAAACTATCACAGGTATCTCAGCCTTTTCTGCCCTTCTTGTTCTTTCACTAACTCAGAAAAGCATAAATCTGAGCAAGCAGTAAATAAGGCTGTTGTGATAAGCACTTTGCATCCTTAGGAACACAGGGCTAAGTAGTGCTACAAGCAGGCCAACGCTGTAAGAGCAGAAAAGTAAAAAACCTAACTTGCTTAAAACTGTTTAGAATGTTTCACCTCTAGGCCTGTGGATGTTTGCAAAATTAAGTATCTTTTTAAATTATGTCAGATTTTATGTAATTCACATATTAGGCAGGTTGTGCACGGAAGCACATGGAAGTCTGATATTTTGTCTGTTTAATGAAAATTAAGGATGTATACAACAAATAATTTTTCTCCATTTAGTAAATGATAAAAGGACAGAGATGATACTGGAAGTCTCTCTCTTCATGTAGTAAATCCTAGCAATGGCCTGCAATGCTTTACAGAAGGATTTTTCTTTTAATTCCCCAAAATGCTCCTTATCTACAGCAGAGTCTTATAATCAACAAGGACAATTTTTTTTCTGGACTCAGCCAGCACTTACATCCTGGGGCAGGATAATTACAAACCATGTAACTACAGATATTCACCCCTCCCAGAATGATGGACTCTACAGTTTAATTACATATTACTCACAAAATAGTTTCCTTCCATCCATTTCAAATTTGTTTCTTGAATTAACAGTGATGCATTTTTATTATAACATTAATGCATATAATTAGATGACATGACTATACAGCTTTTTGGCTAGAGTTTTGGAAGGAAAAGATTTCTGATCCCTGTTTGCACAACTGTGTATTTTGCATTAAAATTATCATTCGACAAAACACGCAACAGAAATAAATACCTAAAATACATAAGCAGACCATCCTGACAACTGTGTTCAATACCGGGCTACAGTCATTCTCTTTGGAACACACAGAAGCTCCACCCTCAGCTGTAGAGGAGAAAACATTGTCAGGCTCCCCTCGCACCACACCAGACTGGCTTCCAGCCTGGTGGTTAAGGTGTGCGTGGGGGAAAAGAGGGTTTGAATCCCCTCAGACAGTGGCAGGAACAGGACTAACTTCAAGTGGAGGACACAGCAAGCACTTGTAAGGGCACATGATACAAAAAGCAAGTATCAGTGCCCTAAGTGTGACTTCTGTTCTGCTTTTGAAAGAAAGGATTTAATATCTGCTTTCAGAAAGGCAGATGTTCATGGCTCTGAATCCCAAGTGGAAAGAGTTGCCTGTCTCTTCAGGGAGAAGCAGAATTAGGACTAGTCCTTAGTATTTCCTGCTACCTTATTTTGGTGGCATCTCACAGAGCTTGCTGGAGTTTGTAGAATCAGTTCTTAAAGATTGTACTTAAAGACTGACAGACAAGCAGTGTGACAGCTGAAGCTGTTACTCTCCAGGTCTTCCCACAGGCAGAGACACTGGATCTACTAATGAATCAGATCTTGAACTGCTCTAGTTTTAATTTAGTTTGTTACGGTAAACTAATGAAACCTCCACTTTAGAGTATCTAAGTTCATGAAATAGCTCGCTTGTAGGGGAAAAGTGGTTTTCCTTGTCACGTGGTCCTGTTTTTTCCTTGTGCCACCTCTAACACCCATTAGACCTCCCTGCGAGTCAGTCCAGTTCACCAACGCAGCAGGAGATACTGCAGCTTCCCGGGAGAGGGGGAAGGTTTGGCGAGTTGGTCTTCTGCCTGATGACCTCTACCAGTGGCTGAGCAGGTCTGGTGAATATCAAAGCTGGTGTGATGCTGGCAGCAGGAGCACTCAGCTGAGACTTGTGGAGGTGGGTAAGAGTGAAGAAGACAGGAGGAGACTGGGACACTTTCCTTTTGGATCACGAGAGGCTAATAGATCGCCTAATTCAGCCTCTAGAAGTTGCCGGCGTGCTTTGCAGTGAGACAAGAGATGCTGTTCACGG